GATGACGACGCCATTTTTCTATTCTTTCTTCTTTTTCTACCATACTATTCATATATTTTTTTTTTTGTTATACTCTCGTCGCCGCCGCAAACTAAGAGTCCAATGTATATACAAAATAAATATCGCAGAATACATACCGAAAGAGAACGACCCCCGAATTTATGAGGATTTTTTTTTTCTTCTTTTCTTCTCATGTTCAATACAATAGTGAGGTGCCTTTTCTTTCCCTTTCTCTTATACTATTCTATTATTCGGATAGAACAGACTAGATGGACATGAGTATACATATAAAAAAACAATTGAGAAAGAGAAAAATAATAATGAGGAAAAATATATGAGATGATGGCGGTGACCGTATCTGTTAACCGTTAGTAATCTGAATGAACCTTGATCTTTATATTCATATGGGACAATGGGTAGTAATAGAAAAAAAACAGAAGACTTATCAAAAATGTTCTGTTTTATAAAACATGTATATAACGACAATAGTTCAACATAGGTTTTTTCATTTTAGAATGAATTCTAATATGTTTATTTTTTGTTTGGTTTGTAAAAATGCTACTACAATTATCTTAACAATACTTCAACATGTTTTCTTACTAAGAAATAACTTTGAACATATTTAAACTGACTGATTTATCAAATATTTTATGAACAAATGATTTTTGTCTCCATTTACTAAATTTGTTCATGAAACCTTATTAGTGAACATTGAAAAGGCATCACTCACTATTTTACTTTCATGAGACATGGATCAAATATTTTTTAAGATGATGATGAAGTCAAAACAAGATTTCATTCATGTGTATTACTACTAAAAAAGAAACTTTTTTTGTTTATGTTACTAAGTCTTCTAGTTGATTTCTATAGTAATAATGCTCATGTGTCGATCCATCCTCTGAGTATATAAGAAGAATCTTTTTTTAATTATGTTGTCCAATGATAATTATCAAGGGTGACGGCTTTATCGAATCATATCTAATTACTTCTTTTATAATTTGAATATGTGATTGAACGAAAAATTAATAAGTAAAGACAATTGTGATCTCGATTCGTTGTCAATGTGTGTATGTATACCTTGACAAAAAAAAAGGGGAAGAACGAAGTTCTATGTCTATGTGACGAAAATAAAAGAGCGAAGTTATCGATGAATAATACAAGAGGGAAGAGTTCGAAGGTTATTTTTCCAATAAGTAAAGAAAAGAAAAAAAAAACCTCTCATCACCTGTATCTACACTTAATCCATTGGATAAACAGTTCATTGTATCCGCGTATGCAGCGTTTTTTTTTTCGATCATCAATTCTTTTCTCTTTCTGTACGTGAATAAAAAGCTTTTTTTTTTGTTAAATGTCCGCTGGCTACTGCATGAAATAAAGACTCTTTCAACAGATTGAACACGTTCGTTCTGTATATTTAACGAAATATAATTGATCTAAAATAGTATTTTTTTTTTCGTCTTTCGTTGGTCAGTGATGTTGCTATTCAAAATGGAGAACAAAATGATTCTAGGCGGCAATTACATTTTCAACTGTTGATTAACATCTTCTGATACGATCTTCAGATGCTTAACAAACAGAAATAATAATTTCATTAGAAATATTTTTCCTCATTCGGGTTTCAATTAAGGAAAAAGTCCACAAAAGCAAAGTCGTTATTTTCTTCATCAAATTTGCAATAAATAAAAGTTTTATAGATTGATTTGCTCTGTCGTCTACCATAACTTTACCTATAAATATAAACAAGAAAATATGAACTCATACAAATAATAAATTATAATTCATTGAGATGTTCCTTTTGTAATAGGTTAAGATGAATCAAGAATTGTTAGATAAACATTCTTTTCAATTTTTATATACATCTGATTGCAAAGAATGAGTGCAAAATTTTTAGAAAGTTTTTACTTTGATTCATATTCAAAAAAAAACACTGAACGATATTCATTATGACTTGGTTGTTTTTTAAAAGATTGTATGGTTTTATAACAAGAATAATAAATGGAATAATTGACGAATTATGCATGTAAAAGAGCTATAGCAGATAATCAAACTAGAAAATTTTGATTAGAATATTTATCTATAAACAGGTCTCAGACTTCCAGACGCAGCAAATGAACTTAATTAGAGTGTTTTTAATAATGGAAGCTAAAAATTATGAGAAATGATAATGACTAGTGTCATGCTAAATATGGATAGTGCAATTTTTTTTTGTCAAATGTTTTATTACAACCTATTACTAATTAGAGTTTGGCAAAATATTTCTTGTTAATATTATAGGATGAGTCATATTTGAATGTTTCTTTTTGAGTAGCAAATGTTATCTATAAACGTGATAAGAGAATATTTATTAGGGGGTGAAGTTTTATCCGTCTTGTTGACTGACTACTAGAACTTTCGAAATAAAATCAAAACATCCTAGACAACTTTCATAATAAAAAACTAAATGGTATGTACATATGTATTGATTTCATTCTTCTATATTTTCTAAACAATGAAAATTCGATTATTAAGTGCGGAAAAAAAAAAATTTATATTCGCTTCTTTAGGCCAATATAACAAATATATTAGAAAAACTTTGGAAAAAATTTTATCATATTGCATTAATTCTTTCAAAAGAAAATTCTCCATATCATACGGATATTGATTATCAAAATATATTTAATATTCTTGATGAATTAAAAACTGAAACACGAAAAACAATTGAAATAATTAAAAGAAGTCTTTTGGCTAGTCGACCAATTTTACTTAGTCGAGATCAACTCGAAGATTATATTAAACGGATTGAATTTGCTAATGAAATTATGTTAAATTTAGATTACCTAGTAAAAATGACATTTGATACATATATTAATTTTATAAATATACATTGGGAAACAAATGACAATTTTGAATCAATTGAAAAACAAAGAATTATATCTGAAAAATATGATATGTCAATGACAAGATGGCAATTTATATTAAGTAAAATTGAACGATTTCATGAAGTGGTCAAAAATTGTACTTAAGAATTTATGGATTGTTGTTGTGTTTTTGGATTCAATAAATATTTAAAAGATTATTCATTTACATCTATTCTTACATATGATCCTTTCATAAGAAATAAAGTTTCAATTTACTTGGTTAGCATAGCCTCTCACATTCCTATTGAATTTTGTTGTTAAAATTTGAATATAAAGTTTTTACATAGATAACCTTCATATTGTTTATATGTTTATTTTTTGGAGAGATTCATATTGCAAAATTCTGTCTGCTCGCTTTTCGTTCGGTTACAATGATTGGTGAAAAATCCGTTTTGCTTTAATTTCCTGACTTTCGCTTATTTAGTTAAGAGCGTTTCATTTAATTTGTAGCTAGTTAATAGAAACGCTTCAAATTTTGAGTTAGAACAAGTATATCCATATCAAGATATCAACTTTTCATGAAAATGCTATTCTTTTGAACCACAGCTCAAAACAGCCGTTTTGTCAAAATGTAAATATCTTGGTAAGAATGCGTTCGTTCTGGCTCAACTTTTGTGAAGTTCTTAGTGTCTATGAAGTTTATCTATGAATGAAATTCCAGTTCAAAATTTGATTATGTGAGTTGTCAGCAATTCTGTGCTTATAGAGCGTGAAACTAGTAAAACGGCCATAATTCGCCAGAAAACAAGCGATTTGATAGTTGAACACATTTTCTTGTATAAATGCAACAGATAGAAAGATTAAGCATTCTAACTAGTTTGATATAGGTAGACAGATCGTAAGGATCAAGTTGATTGACAATTTGTAAAATGAACATACGATGAAAATATATTAAAATTTCGTTATCTTAAAAGAAACGTTTGGATTGAACAGTCATTTTAAACATTTTATGGCAATAAAACATTTAACGATTATTTTGGTTGAAAAGAGACTATCATTTTCAAAATATTTTCAATAGAATGTTCAATAATTTCGATCGACAATAGTTTGTTTCTCTGTTTGTATTAATATAAAATGTGCCTAACAATAATTTCTAATCAATTTCGATGAAAAATTACTTCAGATCAACTTGTGGAACTCTCTTGACCTTTCCGAATAATTCGTGGAAGACTCTTTCAATGGACATTATACGGTTTCAATTTTTGATATTGTGTTGAATATACCGTTTGACACTAGCATCCTTTTGTTTTCACATGCTAACATTAAGATCACATTGAACTAAGTATTCTCCTGAGCAATCTGTTCGAGCTGCTGCTGTATCTTCTACAAAAATATGTGTGTACACCGGTCATCAAATAGTTTGTGTTAGTGTGTTCGCCTTTGTCTCGTTCTTTCGCTAAATCAATTCATCGAGAGCCTTATATTGAACAAAATTGATACTGAGAGGAGATCATTAGGATGCCTATTCTACACTGTGTCATTTTGTCTTTTACCTAGACGACATTGTATTTGATAGTCCAGAAGATGACTTCTGTCAGATGAGCAATTGTGACAGGGATAGTTTGTGGTTTGCATAGCTATATATCAAACTCCTCTCATCTTCTACAGAGTGTTCAAAAAAATTTCTTCCAAAGCTTCCAACAAATATTGGTTAAGCGAGGACAAGAACTTTTGCATCGTACTGTATTTTTATTATTGAGTTTTTCGTCACAAAAATTGTGCATTTCGCATTAACACCTACCATTTAAACAATAACGAAAGCTAAATGAGTAAATTTCAAAGTTAAACTTTTAACAACTTTTATTCTTCATCAACATCAACATCTTGAATCAAAACAACATCTGAATAAGTTTAACAATTAGTATCAATTTTTCTTTTGAGTCCACATAGGTTGACGATGTAATGGACGTCGTGCTTCAATTCTGTAGGTTGGGAAAGAAGTTTGATTATATGAATATTCTGTATGATTGTCTGATCGGGTACTATGTATCAAGGAAAGAAACAAAAGTTAGAGATAAAATTTTGAATAACCATTTCGTAGATATGATTTCCAAAAGCAAGTACATTTGATCGATTTTCAAATGTATATGTCTTATATCTGACTTACTTTGACGTTAAATCTTCTGTCGGTTTTAACAATGTTTCCTCGATTTGAGAAATAGGAGTAGAAATAGTTTGATTTGATTCTTCAGTTATATTCGAAGATGAACTTTGTTGTAACACTGATTCAGATTCGATTTGAGGAATAGGAGCATAAATTGTTTCATTTGGTTCTTCAATTATATTTGAAGAAACATTTTCTTGTGGCGTTAATTCAGATTTAGTTTGAGCCAAAGAAGAAGAAATTGTTCGTTTTTGTTCTTCAGTTATATTTGAAGATGAACTTTGTTGTAACACCGATTCAGATTCGATTTGAGGAATAGGAGTAGAAATAGTTTGATTTGATTCTTCAGTTATATTCGAAGATGAACTTTGTTGTAGTATTAGGACAGCTTCGATTTGAGGAATAGGAGAAGAAATTATTTGGTTTTGTTCTTCAGTTATATTCGAAGATGAACTTTGTTGTAACACTGATTCAGATTCGATTTGAGGAATCGGAGCATAAGTTGTTTCATTTGATTCTTCAATTATATTTGAAGAAGCACTTTGTTGTGGCGTTAATTCAGATTTAGTTTGAGCAAAAGAAGAAGAAATTGTTCGGTTTTGTTCTTCAGTTATACTCGACGATGAACTTTGTTGTTGTATTGTTTTAGATTCGATCTGTATTGTTTCTGTTTGTTCTACATTAGTTTTTTCTTCTATAAAGATTATTTTAATGGATATCATTCAAATTTAGTGAATAATTAATGAACAATCAAGAATTATGTTTGTACAATATTATACATACAGTTTCAGGATCTCTTGAAAGATAAATAAGTTTCCTATGATCATCGGTAGGTATACGCTGTTTTGTCCTTATAATAACTAAAGATTCTATTTTTTATTTTTAATTGTTATATTATTTGCGTGAGATGATTTGCTGAAACCTTTTAGTTTCATTTTTTTAAGTCATCCATTCATGGTAGATCCTTCAGTCTATAGAATGTTACGTCCTAATAAACTAAATGATGGTACGCCAACCTGAAATTTTCACCTGAGACAGATTTACTTGTGAGTCTAATGTTCTGAAAATTTCAATTCAAAAGAATGTATCTCTCATAATACAATTAAGTTCCAAAAAATACGAGATGTTCGTTTCTTGCGCACAATATAGGTGATCTTTGAAAAGTCAATATCTTTTTTTTTTTTGAAGCGGAAATTTTTAACCAAGTCCAGTCACAAGTAGGTCTATCTATGATCAACATTTCAGGTCGATGTATTGTCACTGAAATTCTAGTAAAATGGCTATGACACTGATGCGAAGGCATAGGATCGCTTATTTGGAATGACTCCTTCGAAAGCATAAGACATAAAGGATTGATTAGAAAATTGCACAGACACAACTTATTGTAATCGTTAAGAAAAAATCAAATAGGGTTAATTTATAACATTGAACAACTTCAGATCAAATTCTTGAGTATGACAATAAAGTTAAATTTAGAAAGTCGTAAATACCTTACCTATTTTTGTCTCATTTTGTAAGGATTCTGTAATAATAATTGTTCGTAGACTATTCTTTAATTTTTTTTCTTCATTGTCTTCTTCAGTTGCCTGTATTGCAGTGATTGTCGAACTTAAAAGAAAGAACAAACAAAAAAGCAATTGTAAATAATAATGTTGTCAAAAATATCTTACCCAGTGGTTGTTGTTGAGTGACATGAATCATTACTTTGCTCAGTTGTAGTTTGTTGAAGTTGTAAATCAATAATAAATTTTTCATTCGGCACAATAATTAATTGATTTGTTTGGTTTATTTCTTTATAAAGTCGTTGCATTAATTGAAAACATGTTGGCCGTTTTTGAGGATCATGATTCCATGCATCTTGTGTAACTTGTTTATACGGTTCAGGTACATCTGATGGAATAGTTGGTCGTTCACCTGATTTAAGTTGACCTAATATAACTACTTCATCTTCATATTCATCCCATGGTTTTCTTGCTGTAGCTAATTCCCAAAAAACAATTCCAAGACTATAAATATCAGATTGTTTTGTATGACGAGCAGATGGTTTAAATAATTCTGGTGCTTTCCAATAAAATGAACCAATAATTTGAAGAGAAGAAAATGATGCAGATTGTAAGAAAGTTTCACGTCGAATTTCGGCTAAACCAAAATCACAAACTTTAACAAGATATTTTTGATTTGAAGATTCATTATATTTTAATAAAAAATTCATTGATTTTATATCTCGATGAAGAATTGGAGGATCTAGATGATGTAAATAATTAATGGATTTTGTCATTTGATATGCAATAGAATATCGATCAGACCAATCAAATGATATTTGTTCTCGTTTTTTATGTAAGGTATCATATAATGAACCTACTGGCATATACTCAACAACAATCGCATAGAAATTCGGTTCAATACATGCACCAAAAATATTTAATACATTCTCATAATGTATACGATACATTGTTGAAACTTCTCGATAAAAATCTTTTTCAATATTTGATAAATGATTAATACGTATAATTTTGATAGCAACTTGATCATGATGTGTTAACCATTGAGCTTTATAAACATCAGCAAAGCCACCACTACCAACAAGCTTCTCTTCTATATATAAATCTTTATATGGTATATGTAAAAATTGTTGATGTTTCTTGAGAAGTTCTTGTGATTGATTAGAATCTTGTTGAATTAATAATTTTTGTTCTAAAGAAAAATGAAATGATTGTAAACGTTTATTAATCATTTTATCGATTAATTTATATTGTTCACATTGTTTTTCTAACATTCTTTGTGAAATTTCATCTATTTTTTTATGTAAATCTTTTAAATCTTTTTGTCGATCTTCTTGATCTTGTTTACGATCGAATAATTCTTGAATATTTAATCCAAGGCATAAATCTTCACCTATTTGTGATAAATGTTGATTCAATTCTTTAAATTTTTCATCGATTTGTTTACATTCATAAATTTCTTCACACCATTGTTCAGGAGATTTTAATTTTTCGATATAATTATTACAATCATCAATACATCGAAGTAATTTATCCAGTATCGGACGAGTTTCTTCTCGTAATTTTGATGATGTTGCATGTTCTAAACGTTCGAGAGGATCAATTAATTGATCAATACGTTCACAAAGACGTTCACATTGCATTTTATTAGCATGAACTTGGGACACATTTTTATGAATTTCATTTCGTAAATCAAATATTCGATTTGTTGGTAATGAATTCATGTTGTGAATACTTCATGCACTTACTGATAAACACGTGTAAAGTTAGTGTAGAACTCAAAGAAAAAGTTTTTTTTTGCTTGTTTTGCTTTCCTTTTTTTTTTACTACCTTCAAGCGAAAAACAAGGCTTACAATCGCAATACGATAAGTAAATATTGGCAATAATTTCATCACAGTCAGGAATTAAATAGTAAAACTAGGCTTGCGAATGAGTTGGAAGATTTTTTTCCATGTTTACTAATCATGAAATTATGACTAAAAATGAATTTCATAAGAATGTTTTTTTTTCGCTCAGAAGAGTGTATTCGAAATCTTATTATATAAACATAATAGAACATATTACATAAGTTTTTTAATTAAAAGGCTTATAAACCGGTTTTTTTATGTAATGTTGCTTCTAAAATATGAGTTGCTCATAAAAAAAAAGTTAAGATTTAAGACATCATAATCTTTAAATATAAAGACAAATAGGCCAAATAATTTTGATTTGTGGGTATTTTACTTACACTATTTCACTCTATGTACGTCATGCACAGTTCATATTTTAAATTTATTAGTTTAGCAGTGAAGGCTTTAATTTGACTTGAATCTATCTTATGTTTTTTACTAACAGTAAAAATTCTTCTATTGTTAGCAGTGTTCAATATGTCGAATTTTCAAGATCCAGATTTCATCAAGTTCATCCGTAAACGTCCTTTTTAAATAGTGACAACACATAAAATAAGAATAGGTTTTATTGTGTATACAGAGACGAGTATATATCGCAACATTAAGCGCTCTAACGCCGTGGTGCAAATATTAAAGGTTATTCAACTTTCAAGTTGGATATATGTGAGAAATTTGTACATATAGAAAAGAATGTACACGACTCGATCTAAGGCATATTCTAATATGTAGAAACATCTTGAACATTTAAATATTATAATTAATGATTCACACATGTGTAATTCTATAGTTAATATCTTTTATTTTTATTATAAAACAAAAAATCTATTATCTCAAAAACAAAATAATCAAAAAAATTATTTAATTAAAAACTAATTATAATCATGAAGATTGATTTATCAATCACATGTTTAAATATTTCATTATAATAAAATGAATCATTCTTCACCTGATTGGGAAATACAGTATGCATGAATGAACACAATCAACCAAATATCATGTATTATAATCAACATTAACGTACATTTGTATGTGTCTCACACAAAAAATAACCTGTATTGAAAAGGTAACCAGCAACCTTCGTTTTTTTTGTTAATCATAACATGTACAGGTCAAACCTATTTTGTTTTTCAGACTTAAAATGACTGTCTATTAAATATTTTCCAGCGAAATATTACAGTTATTCTTGTCTCGTCCCTGGTTATATTAATTGTATATGATATTATTCCATCCGTTGATACTTTTATTATTTTATTTTTCAGAATTTGAATAAAAAAACATATTGTTTTGATTTTTAACAATTGTTGAAAAGCCCAAAATACAATAATTTTTACAGTCAACTAATTATTTATGAGTTTAGTAAAGTTTACTGACAAATTCAGCAAATTCTAATGACCTATAGTAAAAATTGGCTTTGTTAATATTAATACATGGTTTCCAGCGAACTATGGAAATACTTTAATCCAGAATGTTAAGAATTTATCGACTATTGATAAACACTTACTATACTTATCTAACATGGAAGAAAAAAGTTCAAACTGTTAATATTAGATAAGAAAAATATGTTTAAGGAAAAATGCATATAATTATTCAATTTTGGATGATATTAAGTTGAATTAATCTTAACATTGATTGTAAGTTGATTTCTTTTATACTCATCTATATAAAATAAAATCTGAGTGAACAAAAACAAAATCGTCTTTTCGAATTGATCCAAAAATTTCCAATGGTTTCGACACTGAATCTGAAATTGTAGATTAACTCAGATTTGTTATCCGAATAATTATTATTCAATAAAAGAGTCAGCTTCAGCAGACCGTTTATATACAACGGTCCATTCCGATATTCTTATTTCAGAATAGATGCAATAGAAAAATCTGAAACTTTCACAATAAACTATTAGCCTGAACTAACGTAATTAAAAAGTGCAGAAAAATAAATATGTAAAATAATTTAATTTTCTTTTATGTTATTTAGTTTATGATTTGAAAACATGATCATGGAAAAGTTCAGCCTTCGAACTAAGTTTAACTAAAATCTGACATAATTACAGTCGAACAAATATCATAAAATAGAATATGTGCCCAAAGAACAATCGACTGGCTATGAATCAATTTACTCTTGTTTGATAATGCATACCATATGCGAAACAGAGAATAGACAAAGTTTTTGATTTTTCTTTTTTTTTTAATGTTTATATCATCAGCATGATTTTTCTATTTTAATTTGCAATTGAAATGAAACCATATCCTTGAAATAAACTATAATATGATTAAATACAAAGCAAAATTTCGAAAAGAAGACATATCAACGCATTATCTTGAAGATAATAATCAATGAACATATACGTATTGACTAAAGCTCATCACGAAATATAATAATAAACATACATTGATAATTCGTATTATAAAAATCATTAGATGTTGAATCGAATCTTTATCTTTCAATGAAGATCATTGAGGATAATAATTAAAGTTGAGGCTATATAAGACTCATATCTAGTGAGATTAGTCATATTTCTATTCGAATTCAAGAACTATTGTTTATATTGAGTGGTGAGTGTAATAGTAGCTGTTAACTTCCTTTTCATCCAAATCGAGATCTGCACTTAAGTGAGCAAATGATGGAAGGAGATACCATTGTTAAACTATCAAATGTTGGTTAAGTTTACTCTCAAATTGATCCTTTCCAGTTTATTCATTGTTCATCAAATTAGAATCAAAATAATAATTCGCCTTAAAACAAACTGACATGTAAGCGATCATCGTTATTTGACTATCAAGATTTACAATTAGAAATTCAATGCAGCAAAATCCTTAAAAATGAAATTTGTTAAGAAATAAAAGTCTTCAGAAAGAACCTTCTTCTAAAAGAAAACAGTATAGTAATAATCGTCATTTTGGAGTCAAAGTCTCAAAGACATTCAGAGACAACTGTCTTGCAACAAATCATATAATCTTTTGAGTGAAAAAGCGAGACCACCTATCATAATTCTCCTTACATTTCAGCTATCGAAATATAAAGAAATTGAGATCTACACAATCTTTACGATCAAACTTATTTCTATTTCTATACATTAGATTTTAACTTCGTTAATCTTGAAATAAAATAATTTTCAAAGAATTCTGAATGATGAATTGATCGATAAAAGGTGTCAATGATCATCATTTACATTATAGTTGTTTGAAGATATCTCTATCATTCTATCTAATGACAATAAGTTCAATGTTTAAAATATATTATTTACGCAGATGTTCACTACCTTTGATAATACATTATAGATATTTTCTAACATATAAAAATGATTATACTCATCATTTTTGTTTATCAAAACTTTTCTATCTGAGTTGTCATTTAATTTCATTAATACATTGTTTTTGTCTGAGTGACAAAAAATCCTTCTCTTATAAATATATGATGTCTATTCTTTTGTTGTTCAATTAAAACACTTAAATAATATTCGTTATTTCAATACTGTTTATTCGTCTGAGACATACATATGTATTTCATATTCTCATCCCTTTTTTTTTTGACGCCTATAAGTTGAGAAAGAAAAAAAAAACCGAGAAAACACAAGTAGACATTCCAGAGCAATTCTTTTTCTTTTTTTTCGTCTTAAGGCATTTTGATTGCGTGTTAAATATCGTAAATACTTTCTCTTATTGTATATAAAGTCACTAGAGACATGAAATTTAATGATGATCATGATGAGTAAAGCCGAAATGAATCAACGTTTTATTGTGAGTTTTAACAAGTCTATATGAAAATTCTTTCATCTTATTTTAAATGAACAAAATTCGGTGACATGAATCATGAAGAAAAATAAAAAAAAAAAATAAAGATTATTTATTCCTTTTTTTTCCGGTGAACACACGTGCCATTTGTTTGTCAACGAAAAACTAACTTCACTACATTAAAAAAAGATCAAAACGTGAAAAACAAAATCAGAAAGCGAAAATAAATGATACTTGACTTACACAGTTGAATTAAATTTGTTGTCATTAATAACTAAAGTGAATCACTAGGAAATTCTATACATAATACTTAACATTTTTCATTGAATCTATTGACAGAATCTCTTCGATTATTTTCTATAACAAGTGAATGAATCCTTTGAAATATCTCATCGTTTGAGCATCCATCAGTGGAATGAAGAAATAACTCCTGAAATTGCAAATCGAGTTGACTATAAAACACAATTATTCTCTATTTTGAAACCATCATTGAGACTACCAAAAACATAGATCTTTGCTTATTCTTTTCATTTTTTAGAGAATAAAAAGCAATATGTTTGGTTTATAATCTAAGATACGGTGAATAGATATGATTATTTGGTTATTGTGCTTTTTTTTTTTTTTTACAATGAGTGAAACTAAAATGTGAATTTCGACATATAACGTTGAAACAAATGAAAAGGACAATTCAATAAAAGGTGAAGACATCTGTTGACCATCTGTTGTCATGTTTTTTTGCTTTTTATTGATGATAATGATATGTGAAACGAAACAAAAATTAATCGATTGAATATTTCCGTTCACTTTCTTTATTTTTTTTTAATTTGCCGCTTTCATTTGAGTAAATCTAGTGTTACATCCTTTATTATTATGGTTTTTTTTTTTTTCAAATATGTTAAATTTTATTTACATATATCACTGTTCTTACAACCGGGATAAACAACAAACAAAAAAAAAAGTGAATATTTGTTTTATTTATACAAGTGAAGCTTGAATATCAATTTGTTTTAATTTTAAATTAATATCTTTTTTCTCCGAAAGTTTTTCATCATTTGATTCTTTAAATACATTTGTTGATGAATGTTCAATAGTCCAAATTTTTT